TGAGATCCGTCTCAAAAAAAAAAAAAAAAAAAAAATGAAATGAACTTAAATTTGTGCTGTACCACCAGTGATAATAATAGTGTTGAACTGCTTTGGCCTTTTGGCTAAGATTCAAGTGTAGTATCGTTCACATCAGTTTTTTAATATAGGGGTGTGAACAACGTGGGAGAAAAAATAACTTAAGTCCTCTTTTTATTATACTTGAAACAAAAATGGCCTCAATTTCAGACACTTACTAAATATTAATAGGACATCCATTAAAATCATTGCTGTTATTTACATAAAAAGGCTGAAGAGGAGGAGAAGAGAAATTTGTACTTATTTTAAAGGCATTGCGTGTCCTTTCACTTGGGACTGCCTCTCTGTCATTTGGGCTCCTCGAAAAACCTACTATCATTTTTGTGGAAGTCTCCACACATCTTTTGCGTGAAGCCCTGACATTTCCTGGGATCAGCTTCAAGCAAGAAACTGTTCTTTAAATTTTTCATACCTTGTACCCCCCGCGCCCCCTTACCCGCCCTGTGCCCCCGTACTGCACCTACTTGCATGCTACTTGAAGCAGGGTCTCTATCAGAGGAGGAAAGAGAGAAGATAGCTAGCTCTGGCCCCTCTCTTAGGTGCAGAACTCTTAGTGTTCTTTTGCCTATTTTTAATTTGCCTTAATCAATTATCAAGCAAATATGTCATGCTTATAACATTTTAACCTACGTCTCTAGAGTGCAAGAGTAAAGCCTGTTGTGAACTGATTAGGTTACCTGTGGAAAAGGCTATGCCCAAGCATGTGTTGAAGCCAGTGATGGCCAGAATGTCATCAAAGCTGCCAGCTGCCATGAGCAAGGTCGGGACACCCTTCTCAACACCATAGCCTCCTCCCTGCAGAAGGAGCATTGAAGGCACCACGACAGCTGGAGATACAGCACCTAAAACAAAACTAGGCAGACAGCACTTTAAATATTTATGATAACATCTTACTTATTACTATTTTGAAATTATAATACCCTCCATTTTTTTATGGGTTATACTTTGGACAACTATAGTCTTTCAAATGGCAGAGAAGCATGAATCCAGAAAAACACGTATGTGTAAAACTTCTACAGAACACTGTTTTTTAAAATGTAGCCATAGACAACCTGCTTCAGACTACATAGGTTGCCTAAAAATATATACTTACTAGTGGTATAGAAGGCCTAATGAGGGTAGGCCCCAGGATGCTGGCTTTTTTTAAACAAAAAATTCATGTTATGAGGTTTGAAAAGCAATGCATGGACTTTCTGATTTGGAACCCAGTGATGCTGGGCCTTTTATCAGGACTTGCTATGTCAAATAAGGCAACATATTAGAAGAAAACGATATGACAGTCACATTGATACCAGTAACCACAGCAGTGGTAACAGCTGAAAGCATTTTACAGTACTTACTATGTACCAAATAACATTTTGAGGACTTTACACGTATTGGCTAATTTAATCCTCACAACAACCCTATAAGATAGATGCAATCTATTTTAATTTTATAATTGAGGAAACTGAGGCACGGAGAGATTAAATACTTGTTAAAGATCACACACTGGAAAATCACAAGGCTGGGATTTGAATCCAGAGAGGAGAGTTCCAGAGTCTTAACCATGAGGAGAATTTCTTACTTCTTGCCTACTTATTAGCACTAAATTCTTACTAAGTCCTTTCTTATTTATTTACTTTGTGTGGCTCTTAACCATTGGAAGAACTGACAGTGGAAGGAAGAGATGGCAGAACTGCCAAGTCATAATAGTCTGATGACAGGAGGAAAACAATAGTAGCTGTTGATCACTGCTGCTGTGTTTTTTATCCTTTGTGCAGACTTTAGGTGGAATCCGGTATCTCTTTTAACAGGCATTGAATCAGGTGTAGGCAAAAGACCACGATTTCTTCAACAGTTTGAATAGTAGGAGCTAACTATACGAGTTAGCGCCTACTAACATATAAACTTCTGGCCCCTCCTTAGGTGCAGAACTCTTAGTGTTCTTTTGCCTATTTTTAATTTGCCTTAATCAATTATCAAGCAAATATGTCATGCTTATAACATTTTAACCTATGTCTCTAGAGTGCAAGAGTAAAGCCTGTTGTGAACTGATTAGGTTACCTGTGGAAAATTCTGAAGTTAGAATATTTAGATTATGCTGTAACATCTATGTTGCATTTTCTGATATCTATAAGAAAATTCTATTATGCATTCTCTTGTATGGAATCAGAGAAAGCCCTAAATGTCCCTACATATTTTCCATGACAAAGAAACAATCATTACCCCAGTATAAATCCCCATTGCCATGGTAAACCCAGCAGGTAATGGGCCAGAAGAGCAGATGTACACGCCTCCACAATACAGGGACCCATGGACAGTCTTACACAAACGCCCTTTAACTTCTTCAGGGCCTGAAACAGAAAAGCAGACATCCTAATATAATCCTCTGAAGATGTGCAGAGAAGATGACCTTCAACGCTTTCTCTTCAGTATATGGGCAATGTCTGGGTCATCATGAGTTTTCAAGGTAATGAGTTGTATTTAACAAACATTTTAGTACTCCAAGTGTTTACAGACAGCTTATTTAGTCCTCACTGCAACCTTTTAAGATAGGTAATACTATTATCCCCATTTTTTTAGATGTCCTCATCTGAAAAGACACAGGCTAAAGTCATCCGCCCAAGATCATGAAACTGGTGAGTGATGGGGTCAGGTTTGAACCCAGGCAGGCTGCTTTCAGCATCTGTGTTCATAATCTCTAGCTAATTTCACATTATTTTTATTTATAATCTGTGGTTCCAGAATGAGACTAAAGTGAAGAGCCTAATACCCCAAGAAAATTCATTCCTGTACTAAACGACACACATGAAAAAAAAAAGCATTAGAAAGGCATATTAGGCAGTTTCCTGAGCTAGTATAGTTAGCCCTGAACACTTGCATAGGGCTTCGCAAACCAAAAATATGTTATTTTCTCCACTCTGAGCATTATTTATAACCATGGTCTATATCTATGTCAGAGAAAAGTGGGGCCTTTATTCTTGGTGCTGGCCCCATAGACAGACTCTACCTTTCCCCAAGAAAGAGAATGAGATCGGCCAGGCGCAGTGGCTCACGCCTGTAATCCCAGCATTTTGGGAGGTGGAGGCAGGCGGATCACCTGAGGTCAGGAGTTCGAGACCAGCCTGGCCAACGTGGCAAAACCCCGTCTCTACTAAAAATACAAAAATTAGCCGGATGTGGTAGTGCATGTCCGTAATCCCACCTGTTTGGGAGGCTGAGGCAGGAGAATCACTTGAACCTGGGAGGCGGAGGTTGCAGTAAGCTGAGATTAAGCCACTGTACTCTAGCCTGGGTGACGGAGTGAGACTCCGTCTCAAAAAAAAAAAGGAAGAAAATGAGACCATCTTTTGAGTTATTGCAAAGCACAAGGTCCTACTTGCAAAACAATCCTCCATGAAATAAATTCTATTCTATTCTCAAGAATGTCATGCAAAGTGTCCACATCCATTTCCTAATGCTTAGCGATTCTATTAGATACTTGAAGTATTGAAGAAACAAAATTCCTACTTAATAATGAGAAATCTACACATCATACCTTTGAATCCAGACCAAGGCCAGCACGAACCAGGATGATAGACAGGGCTATGCTTCTCAAAGAGGAAGACCACTTGTGCTTGATCTGTACATTATCGTTGATGACTGGGATATTTCTGATGAGAAACCCTGCAAGCAGCATGCCTTGAATGAAGAAATCAAACATGTCTAGTTAGTTTTCAAATACAGAAAATATTTTTAGTTAACTTTAATTTTATAGAGACTACTATATAATCCCAGGAACCACTTCACTCATGCTTAGAAGAAATGAAGTTAAACTTTTAGTTTAACTTGGAAGAAATTAAGTTAAGCTTTTAATTAAAAAATTAGTATAATTAAAGCAGCTAAGAAAATAATGTGCACATAAAAATATAATTTATAATAATTAATATTCCTAAAATAACTGAACTTAAAAGGGAGACAAGATGCAGCATTTGGATAGAGAGTATGATCAATTCTACATATAAAATGTTTTAACACAATGCCAGCTCAGTCAGTCCTTTGCGTGCAAACAGCGAACAGTCCCTGAAATTATTTGCTATGTCAGATTACTTGAAATATCGATAAATACCTATATGGATTCTATTTTACCTTCAGATTAGATAATTTCATAAGAGACACATAATCTACTTTGCGAAGGTTTTAGATGTCAATTATGATGAAATGAACATTGCCCTGTCATGTCAGCCGGTAACTCTTCTTTCACTCAGTCATTCAACTCTACTGAATGCCTTCAGTAGTTTAGATGCTAGAGTATGCATCACGCATATAATAATGAACTACTTTTCAACAAGCTTTCAGCCTCTAGGGAACAAGACAAACGGACAATACCAATTTTATGAAAGCATGAGGGGGATGTTACATGAGCTGAGGCAGGAAGGGGGATTTAGAGAAGGGGAAAGAGGATGAAGAAATGGCTGGGGGAGTTGAGAAGTTTCTGGAAAAGACAGTAGTTTATTCAAAGGTAAAAGAAAAAGTGACTCATTCTGGAAACTGCAAGAAGTTGAGTGTAACTGACGAAGCTGGGTAGTGAGTGAGGGAATTCTGCCTTCATTGATATCACATGCCCACACAAAGGGAAAGGTTTCTGTGAGAGACTGTGAGCCTCTTCCCTCCATGCTTCTCCAGCAGTGCCCTCTTCTCACCTCATCCCTATAAGCACCATACTTGAAACAACTAAATAAATTTACTGAAGTTAGGATATTTTGTGATGCAAGATGGGAGAAGAGAGACAACCTGCTGCACATGAAAGCATCACTCCAGGTGTCTCTCATCACTGCCATTTATCTACGGGAAAGGCTCTAAGTTCTGAATGCTGTGGCGATGGTCTTTCTGGAATGTTTATTGGGCAACAGTATCAACAGGCTTGGCTTTTGGAAGAAGTAATGATGAGTTATATATGCACATGGTAAAATTAAGACATTGCTGACAAAAATGTAAAGTGACAAGTATATATTGTACCCCAGCTGCAACTTTCCATCTTCATTCCTGAACGGTTTTCACTGTTGAGGATCTTCTGTGCCCTTCCAGAAAGTTTCTGTACCTATTCAAGCATATTTCTGTGTGTATAAGCTCTTTTGTGCTGGACACAAATAGGACACTGATACACTGCTGTACGGCTTGGGTTTTTTCCCATTTAATAATATATCCTGGACATTTTCCCACTGAAGCACATATATATTTGCTTTATTCCCTTTTAATAGCTGGAATAGTATCTCACTGTTTGGAAGTTCCATAATTTTTGGACCACTAATAATAGATTTTAAGAAATTTTTCAGGTTTCTCATTATAAACAGTGCTGAAATGAGCACAATTCATTTGTCAAGTATTTAAGTGCCTGCTACATGCTAGCCCTGTATGAGATCCTAGTAACAAAGAGGTGAGCTAGACCAGCAGTCCCCAGCCTTTTTGGCACCAGGGACCGGTGTCGTGGAAGACGGTTTTTCCATGGATGGCAGGGGGAATGGTTTCGGGATGAAGCTTCCCACCTCAGATCATCAGGCATTAATTAGATTCTCATAAGGAGCACACAACCTAGATTCCTTGCATGTGCAGTTCCCAACAGAACTCATGCTCCTATGAGAATCTAGTGTCGCTGCTGATCTGACAGGAGGCAGAGCTCAGGCAGTAATGATTGCTCACCTCCTGCCATGGCCCGGGGCTTGGGGACCCCTGAGCTAGATTAATGTGGTCCTTGTCCATATGGAGCTTATATATTTGTAGGTTTGCATTAACTATATTCATATTATAATTCCTAGCAGTGGAAATGTTAGGCCCTATGGTATAGGTGTATATAATTTTTATACATATTGATGATTTACCAGCCAAAAATACTGCACTAATGCTTACATTCCATTATCATGACAATAGCTCTTTAATGAAATTTAAAATATGTGTCCAAACCACTCCTAAATTAATTATGGCATTCAATGACCTGAAATAAAATGGAGTATCCTAAGAAGAACTCAAAACTACGTTAAGAGGTTTTTTGTTTTGGGGGATATGAGGGGGCATTTTTTTTTTTTTTTTTTTGAGACAGGGTCTTGACACGTTGCCCAGGTTGGTCTCAAACTCCTGGGCTCAAGCAATTCACCCACCTTAGACTCCCAAGATGCTGGGATTACAGGTATGAGCCACTGCTCTCTCTTGGCCTGAGAGAGCACTTTTCATTCCTGAAATGAACGTGAGAACAGCTTCCCTGGGACACTGTTTCCTTTGCTAGTGGTTTGGTTGATGTAATGTGACCACCTGATTTTGATTTGGCACGTGTCCCCACTCGTGCCTGTAGGGCCTCCCTTGATCATGGAGGAAAGAACGTCTTCCTGGATATAAGAGTGTTGTTCTCTTAAAATTTTGTATTATGAAAATTATCAACATATGGCTAATCTCATTTCATCTACTCCCAAGTTTATTTTTTTATAATTTGTGTTATGGAAATGTTTTCAATAATGATTTGCCTTCTCTTCCAAAGGGAAGCCATTTTCAAATTCATTTCAGGAATCAAAAATGCTCACTCATACTCGCGTCCCTGGCAATCACTTCAGTTAAACTCTTAAAAATATAACAGGCAACCATCACATATATTTTGTCTTAATAAGTTTCCTTTATGGATTCAGATAATGCTTCAGTTTTGGATACTGGCCTTAATATAATAAGAAGCAGTAAACTTTCTTCCTCTATGCAAGTATACAACTATAAAAAAGAATGTTGAAATATGTATGTAATTTTTGAGAATGATTTCAGTTACCTTAGGAGATTTCATTTTATCACAAATCCCAATACTTTCCATCTTTTTGCAACATGGTATATTTTGTTTTTGCAATAGGTATGGAGTGAAAAAAAGACAAACGGGCGTAATGGGCATTTTCATGTGTCTAGAACAACAGTCTTCAACATAGGTTGTATATTAGAATCATCTGGAGGGCTTTTTAAAACTTCTGATGTCCAGGCCATACCATATTCCATTTCAATTAATTCAGAATCTCTGGGGTAAGATCTAGGCATCAGCTTTAATTTATTTTTTTTATATTTTTATTTTTTGAGAAGGAGTCTTGCTCTGTCGCCAGGCTGGAGTGCAGTGGCGCAATTTCAGCTCACTGCAACCTCTGCCTTCTGGGTTCAAGCGATTCTCCTGCCTCAGCCCCTTGAGTAGCTGGGGCTACAGGTGTATGCCAACCATGCCTGGCTAATTTTTTTGTATTTTTAGTAGAGACGGGGTTTCACCATGTTGGGCAGGATAGTCTTGATCTCCTGACCTTATGATCTACCTGCCTCGACCTCTCAAAGCATCAGCTTTTTAAAGACAGGTGATTCCTGGCCTGGCATGGTGGCTCACACCTGTAATCCCAGCACTTTAGGAGGCCAAGATACGAGAATTGCTTGAGCCCAGGTCCAAGACCTGCTGAGCAACAAAGTGAGACCCCATCTCTACAAAAACCAAAACGGTGTAGGGGCATGTGCCTGTAGTCCCAGCTACTGAGCAGGCTGAGGCACGAAGATTGTTTGGGCCCAGGAGGTTGAGGATGCAGTGAGCCATGATTGTGCAACTGCGCTCCACCCTGGGCAAATGAGACCCTGCCTCAAAAACAAAACAGAACAAAACAACGAACGAGAGATTCTTATGAGCAGCCAAGTTCTAGAATGAATGATCTTGCTACATAAAATGTGATCTTAGAGCTTAGAAATGCAGAATCTCAGGCCATGAAGACCTACTTAATTAGAATTTGTATTTTAACAAATTCCAAGGTCATCCTCTGTACAGTGAAGTTTGAGAGTCACTAATTTTGATACAAGGGTCAGCAAAAATGTTCTGTAAAGGGCCAATGAATATCTTAGGCTTTGTGGGCCATAAAGTCTCTGTTAGAACTTCACAACTCTGCCAGTATAATGCAAAGCAGACATAGACAATATGCAAACAAATATACGTGAGTGGGCTCCAATTAATATTAATTTATAAAGAGAAGTAGTCTGCCAACCCTTTATCCTAGCATATAGGCATATTTAGAAACAATTCATTTTAACAATAATTCAATTAATAACATTAGAGAACAAAAAGCACCTATGAGAAATAATATGAATTAAGTGGAATACCTTTAGTTTTACCTAAAATTAGAAATACATTGAGAAATGGGGCATAGTAAGAGATAAATAATTCTACTTCTTTTTATATTTAACTTTAACTACTGACCACAAGTTCAAAAGCAGATAACTTTGGTGTATGTTAGCGAATCCTGATTGTTCTTACTCATACAGCTAACAGAAAAAAAAAAAAAAATGTTCAGGAAATGTGTGCAAATATATATGCAAGTATGAAAGGTAGGTTGTTTTTTACTAAAACTGGGCGATTAATAAATCTGTTAGAAATGAACACAAAATGCCTCTGTGGTAAACAAATTTTATAATGCAGAATTCTTTGAAGACACATTAAAGGTATCACATCTAGTTTTAAGACTAATTTGTATATGTGTCTTGTTTGGGCAGTTCTTATTGTCTCTGGAAGAGTATTTTCAGCTATGTCTTTAAGAATCATGGTATTTTATTTCATTTTTATATTTTTTGAGATGGAGTCTCACTCTTGTCACCCAGGCTAGAGTGTAGTGGCACGATCTCGGCTCACTGCAACCTCCACCTCCCAGGTTTAAGTGATTCTCCTGCCTCAGCCTCCCAAGTAGCTGAGGTTACAGGCACCCGCCACCACGCCAAGCTAATTTTTTTAAATTTTAATAGAGATGGAGTTTCACCATGTTGGCTAGGCTGGTCTTGAACTCCTGACCTCAGGTGATCTGCCCGCTTTGGCCTCCCAAAGTGCTGGGATTACAGGCATAAGCCATCATGCTCGGCCAATATTATATGTTAAATATACCCTCTGGTGTGCTGGTAAATGCTTAACAAGTGGCTTGCCAAAAAAGTATGCATTTTATATAGGCACATACATTATTAAATTTTACTGATATAAAGGATGTGCAGCACACACTTTACAAATATACAGCCATCTTCACTGTAAATTCTATATAGCCAATTTATTCTCACAGAATGTTTTCACTGCTGTTTGTCAAAATTCTGTGTCCATAACAAAGTATGGCTGTAGTTCTACCAAGATTTGACAGAATCAGACTACAAATAAATGGTTGCATACTATCTGATTCAGCAAAGAAGTCACATATCATGAATGAGCAAGTGCAGTGTCACCGTGAATGCTGGTTGATATTTTTGCTTATATTAATGAATAAGATGAAAATGAAACAATAAAAATACATGTCAGAACTTCACTCTGTCAATGACATAAGTGACTTATACTTTGACAAACCTTGATTTGTAGCATTTCCTGATTTTTTATTGTTGTTGTTACAGATACTTCTACCATGGTCGATTTTAAGCTACAACGTGATGTCACTGTAACTAGAGTTGGGAAGAGGTGGCAGTGGTACACCATTATGTAGTATTTCCATAATCTCAAGAGCATAGGTGAGGGGAAATAGAGTAAAACATTAGGAAGTCTTCAGGGTTGAGCACTGAATGCTTGTTTTTAATGTCAGTTATTTAATTTTAAGTGTGTATATATATACAGATATATATATATACACACACAGACACACACACACACACACACACACACATATATATATATATTTTTTTTTTTGAGACAAGGTCTCTTTCTGTTGCCCAGATTGGAGTGTAATGGTGCAATCATGGCAGCCTCGACCTCCTGGGTTCAATCAATCCTCCCACCTCAGCCTCCTGAGTAGTTGGGACTACAGATACATGTCACCATGCCCAGCTAATTTTTGTATTTTTTTGTAGAGACAGGGTTTCACCATGTTTGCCCTGGCTGGTCTCAAACTCCAAAGCTCAAGCAATCTGCCTACCTTGGCCTCCCAAAGTGCTGGGATTACAGGTATGAGCCACAGCACCTGGGCCACGATACTTTAATTTTTTAAACTGCCATGTTTAACAACTGGATCACAGGACTCCTCAAAATTTAACAACTGGCTTTTGGCTCCAGCATGGCAAATACAGAAATATTTTATTCCTTTATTTCCCAAAGCTTTCCAAACTATTATTTTTAAAATATGGTTTACTCTGGAGAAAACAGGAAACATTTAGCACTTACCAAGAAGAGAAGGCAGTGGAGGCAATGTAGGTAACTTAATAAGTCCCATAAGTTTACCTCCAATGATGGCACAATAGAATAGGATTATAATTCCAAATAGGTTTCCTCCAGGAAGACATTCACTGCCAGTAATTGACCAAACTACAGCCCACAGAAGAACAATGATGGTAACTGAAATAAACCAGGAATACTAGTTACTATCAATAAGTTGTCACATGGAGGTTTTGACAAAATCTAAAATAATTTGTAAAAATAAATACTAATGAAAATGCAAATATTTATAATCATGTTTAATCTGTAGAGTATCAGTAAGATGAACAACTGGGTAACTGCCAACATCTTAAGAAATCGCATATTAACAGTACTTTTGAATCTGCCTATGTGCCCCTCCCCATCTATCTCCCTTTATACTGCCAGAAGGAACCATTATTTTGACTTTTTTCACCATTCACTTTTTTCTCTATAATTTAAAAATATATATATTATTTAGTTCTATCTTGAATTAGACATTATTGTTTCTTTTTTTATAGTCAATATTTGTTTAGAATTACCTACAAAAGTACCTTTTCTGAAATCATCATTCATTATGGCATCTCAAACTTTTCTTTTTTTTTTTTTTTGTTTTGAAACAGGGTCTCCCACTGTAGCCCAGGCTGGAGTGCAGTGGTACAGTCATGGCTCACTACAGCCTCAACCTCCCAGGCTCAAACGATCCTCCTGCCTCAACCTCTCACATAGTTGGGACTACAGGTGTGTGCCACCATGCCTGACTAATTTCTTTAAATTTTTTTAGTGGAGACAGGGTTTCATCATTTTACCCAGGCTGGTCTTGAAGTCTTGAGCTCAAGTGATCCTCCTGTCTCAGCCTCCCAAAGTGCTGGGATTACTGGTGTGAACCACCTCATCTAGCCTCAAATTTTTCATCTGGGACAATTATCCTGCTGCCTACAGTATTTCCTTTAGGAAAAGAATTTCTATAAGAATGTGAAATAGGCCAGGCATGGTGGTTTATGCCTGTCCCATCACTTTAGGAGGTCAAGGCAGGAGGATTGCTCGAGCTCCAAGTTCAAAACCAGCCTGAGCAACATAGTGAGACCTCGTCTCTACTAAAGTATAAAAATTAGCTGGGTATGGTGGTGGGCATCTGTAATCTCAGCTACTTGGGAAGCTGAGGCAGGAGGATCCCTTGAGCCCAGTTCGAGGATGCAGTGAGCTACAATTGCACCACAGCACTCCAGCCTGCATTACACGGCGATACCCTGCATCAAAAAAAAAAAAAGAAAAGAAATGTTTCCTTGTTTGAAAACTTGTGTTTTACAAAACTGTGCACTAAAAATTGAAAAGTTTATGGGAAAAAGAGAGTTGGGGCAGACCACTCAAAACTGGTGACCAAAGCACTAAGAAAAACCAAAACAATCCTAATAAGAGTCTTAGCACAGATGAATCTACACACTGACATTTGTGTCTGACACAGGCGGTCTGTGATGGAAATTCTTGAGGGTATTTTCTTTAAGCAGAGCAGTTCCATCGAAATCTGATCCATATTTTAGCCCTCTGCCTCAATACAATAAATTTCAACAAAAGGAAAAGCGTAGGCAGCTTCTTTACCTCAGCTTATACTCTCAGCCACTTCATCCACATGTGTTCTATTAGATAACTTAATGTTGTAGAATGTTTGAGTCCTTGAAGCCCCTAAACCAGCTACTAATTTCATGAAAAGTCAGCACTTCCACAGAGGTTTCATTGTTTAAAAGGTCCTCATGCAGGGAAGGCTTTATCTTTAATTGTAAGAAAGCATATATTTGGTCTTTTTTCCCCCCAGTTCACTTTGCCTTCACTTGCTATTGCTTGACGATACAAAATATTAATGGGCCAGGAAAAATTATACACAAAACTGCAAATTCCATACACTCTAACACAATTCTCCTATTTACCATTGCATATGAGCTAATTCATGATACAGAAACACTCTGTATCACAGCATGCTGTATTTCTCAGGAGGATCTGTTGTAGTAAATTCTTAGTTTGTCTGGAATTATCTTTATTCTCATTCTTAAGAGATAGTTTTTCTAGGTATACCTCAGTTTTATGTTAAATTCTAGGTTGATTGTTACTGTCTCTCCGTTCTTTGAAAATACTATTCCTTGGTTTTCTGGTTTTGAAGAACCTAATTTCAGCTTTTTAAAGGAATTCTTTTTCCTTGTTTTTAACATCTTCACTTTTTCTTTTGTCTGCCTTTCAGTATGATATGTTTAGGTGGCACTTCCTTTTGTTTTGCTTAAGATTCATGCTTTTTAAAAAAATCAGTTCTGGAAAATTCTTAGCCTTTATTTCTTCAAAGATTTCCTCTTCCCCATTCTCTTTTTCCATGTTGCTAACCCTAGTTTTCATATTTTTCATCTTTGTGTGTACTGCATTCTAGATAATCTCTTCAGATTTATTCACCCGTTCACCATTTTTTTCACTTAATCTGTTGCCTAATTTGTCCACTGAGTTTTTATTTTCAATTACTATCCTATATCTTTCATTCCTAGAAGTTCAAGTTGGTTCTTCCTCAAATCTATTCATTTTTTAAATAGTTACTTGTTTTGTACTCATGTTTTCTAATTTTTAACTTATTTATATATATGTGTTATATTCTATTTTCTGATAATGTACATTTTTGAAATCTGTTTTTTTGTTTCCTTTCACATGTTGCGTTTTGTTGTTGTTGTTGTTGTTTTTAGTTTTTTGCCATAGTGAGCTCTCCCTTGGAACTTTGTCTAAAACTAAAGGTTTTAGTTTGTCTTTTGCAACAGTGAGCTCTCCCTTGGAACTGTGTCCAACTTTGTTGAAGCCTTAGGCTGAATGAGTTTTCCCAGATGGGAAATGAATTTACTTCTACCATGTCCTTAAAAGCCATCCCGAGACCATCTGAAAATGTTTGAAAATAGATACATTTTCAAATTGAATTTTTTCTGTGAAATTGGAGACAAATCAGGATGAAGTTAAACATTTTTATTGGAGACTCCATACTTGCCCCAGCCAGCAACCACAGTTGAGACAGGTTTAGTCACAGGCCCCATCTGCAGAACAGGTTTACCTCAAATTTGGCATTACACTGGGTTTCCACTTTATGTGGGTGAAGGAGAATGCTTTTTCCTGTTAGACTTCTCTCAACCTGGGCAGGCACTAGCTTAGCCTCCTGGGCTCCCAGTGCTCTCAAAATCCATCGCAAGTTCCCTGAGGTTTGGTCGAAACCTCCAGGGTGGGGCCACCTTGAGGGCTTATTGACCTCTGTTACTTACACTTTGGTTTTGGTGTCTGATGATTCCCTGTTTTCTTGACAGATCATTTCAAAAGACTTAAAATATTTTTTCAGATGCTTTCCTTGGTTTGTGACAAGATTGTTCATTGAGTCTTATCTACCATATTGACTGAATTCAAGTCCCTTTTTCTAAACTATACTACTGCAGTGGAATACCTAAGGGACTTTTGGTATTTCCCAATTAGCTACAAGGGTTGACATTTCTATGTGATATCAGAAGTAGAATGGGAAAGCAGGATTTGCCAGTTATTATACTAAATTCTACTTTGTCATAGCATAAACTCAAGCTAACATTAAATTCAGCAAGGTAGAATTAAATGTTTTCTCTTTTCAGCTGGGTGCCTGTAATCCCAGCACTTTGGGAGGCCAAGGCAGGCGATCACGAGGTCGGGAGTTCAAGACCAGCCTGACTAACATGGTGAAACCCTGTCTCTACTAAATACAAAAATTAGCTGGGCATGGTAGCACGTGCCTGTAATCCCAGCTACTCAGGAGGCTGAGGAAAGAGAATCACTTGAACCCAGGAGGCAGAGCTTGCAGTGAGCTGAGATCGAGCCATTGCAATCCAGCCTGGGCGACAGAGCGAGACTCCATCTCAAAAAACAAACAAACAAACAAACAAAAAGAGTTTTCTCTTTTCTACTTCAAGACTATTAAAAAAATCTCTAACTCTCTTTCCCTGTGCCTTACCTGAAATACAGTTGTAAATACATAGCAAATGGTATGTCTATAAGGTTTCTCTAAATCATGTTTAAATCAGTTAACAATTTACTTCTCATTTATGATTATGGAAAACCACAAATTTTCACATGTAAGATTTACCTTTTTTACTTTATTTTTTTGAGACAGTTTCACTCTTGTCACCCAGGCTGCAGTGCAATGGCATGGGCTCACTGCAACCTCCACCTCCTTGGTTCAAGTGAGTCTCCTGTCTCAGCCTCCCAAGTAGCTGGAATTACAGGCACCCGCCACCATGCCCGGCTAATTTTTTGTATTTTTAGTAGAGATGAGGTTTCACTATGTTGGCCAGGCTGGTCTTGAACTCCTGACCTCGTGATCTGCCTGCCTTGGCCTCCCAAAGTACTGGGATTACAGGCGTGAGCCACCGCGCCCAGTCTACTTTTTAAGAAGAATACCGATATATACTGCATAGGCACAGGAAAGAATATAGGACAAAAGTTGTCTTGTAAACTTCTGGAACAGAAAAACAGAAAAATAAGCGATGAGCTATTTATCTACCATGAACCTCATTTTTCAGGCTGCTTTATGAACAATTACATATTTTTAAAAAACGAGTCCTAAAATTATTCATTTTTACTCTTTCCTTATGTCGGTCCGTATCTGTTTCATTGCAAATGTTTTAACTATAAATAGGCCACATTTTGAATAATAAAAGTTTAAAAAAATAATAGAAAGAACAGAAAAGGTATTCAATTATCTGTTTTCTTATCAGCTAGTGTATATTTTTGGATTCTGGTTTTCTGTACATGTTCTAAGTTTGAGATTTTCTTCTATGCTTAGTTAAGTAATCTCACTTGGTTTCATTAAAAACACATCTAGAGCTTAAAGTATAAAATATTATGCTTGGCTTTCATTGTCCCAGATGATAATGGTAAACATGTCTTTCAGAGCCCACAAAGTATAACTATGGAATTGAGTCTCATTTTTCAGTAAACATATGTGGGCATCCATATATTTACTTCAATGATGCTATTATTCCTCAACACAATTTTTTTGAAATTGTCTTTAAATTTGCCTTAAAAGGCAAATTTAGTAAGACATAAAACTATGAAACTATTAGAAAAAAACATAAGAAAAAAGCTCCATGACACTGGTTTGAGCAATAACTTTTTGGATATGACTCCAAAAATATAGGCAACAAAAGCAAACAGACAAACCAGATTACACCAAACTAAAAAGCTTCTGCACAGCAAACAATCCACAGAGTGAAGAGACAACCTATAGCCTGGAAGAGAACAGTTGCAAACTATGTACTTTGCAAGGAGTTAATATAAAAGGAACTCAAAAAACTCAATAGAATATAAAAGGAACTCAAAAAACTCAATAGCAGGAAAACAAAAAATCCAATTTAAAATGGGCAAAGGACCTGAATTTTTCAAAAGAAGACATACAAATGGCCAACAGGTATAGGAAAAAATGTTCAACATTTCACTTCATGCCTGTCAGGATGGCTATTATCAAAAAGACAAAAGATAACAAGGGGGTGGCAAGGATGTAGAGAAAAGGTAACTCTGTGCACTGTTGGTAGGAATGTAAATTAATACCACCATTACGGAAAGTGGTATGGAGAGTCCTCAAAAAAGTAAAAATAGTACCACCATATGATCTGGCAATCCCATTACTAGGTATGTATCCAAAGGAAATGAAATCAGTATATTGAAGAGATGTCTGCACTCCCAAGTTTACTGCAGTACTATTTACAATAGCCAAGATATGGAATCAACCTAAGTGTCCAACAGTGAATGACTGGATAAAGAAAATAATGGTGTATATACACAATGACATGTTTTTCAGTCATAAAAAAGAATGAAATCCTGTCGGATGAACCTGGAGGATATTACGCTAAGTGAAATAAGCCAGGCACCGAAAGACAACTACTACACATTCTCACTCATATGTAGAATCTAAAAAAGTTGTGTTCTTATGGAAGTAGTAAATAGAACAGTGATTACCAGGGACTGGGGAGCGGAGGAGCTTGGGTTTATGGGGAGAGAGTGGTCAACAAGTACAAAGTGATAATTAGATAGGAAGAGTAGTTTGTTCTGTACCACAGCAACGTGACTATAGTCAGGAATAAGGTATTGTATACCTCAAAACAGAAGATTTTCTATGTTCTCACCATGAAGAAATGATAAACGCTTCAGGTGGTAAATACACTAATTAGCTAGATTTGATCATTATACAATACATAAATGTATTGAAACATCATATTGTACCCCACAAATATGTACAAATATGTGTCGAAAACAAAAATAAATAAATAATGCTGATGAATGGATGTTTATGCTTTTGAACAATTCTTTTTATATTTTGATGTTAAAATTATCTTTATCTTTTGAAAATATGATTTACAAAAGTGAAAAATTGTGGATAGATTCCAGGCATTTAAAAGTTGGCAGGTTAAAACTAGTTTTGCCAGGTGCAGTGGTATATATCTGTAACAAGCTACTTGGGAAGCTGAGGTGGGAGGATCCCTTGAGCCTGGGAGTTCAAGACCAGCCTGGGCACCATAACAAGATCATGTCTCCAGGAAAAAAAAGGTTGGGTAGGGGAGGTGAAAGTGGCAGGAAGGCTATGACCAATGCCTTGACATGTAATTTTCTCTAGACTTTAAATCTGAAGATCCATGAAAAAAAAATGTATACACACATGCACATATAACTCAAGTATACTGAGTGATATATATTGGGCTATTGGTCATAGGACACAACATTTCAGTTAGACAGGAGGAACAAGGTTAAGAGGTTTATTGTACAACATGAAGACTATAGTTAATAACATATTGTATTCTTGAAAAATGTTAAGAGTGAATGTAATGTGTTTCACCACAAAAAATGATAGCTATGTGAGGTAATGCATATGTTAATTAGCTAAAATTAGTAATTCTACTATGTATACATACTTCAAAACATCACGTTGCACAAAGCAAATACTTACAATTTTATCTATCAATGTAAAAAATAAATTTTAACTCTCAATGAAAGAATATTGTCTTCTTAAAAAAAACTAATTTGCCTTTATAGATAATTTTCAAATCTCTTCTTTTTTCTACTATATCACATATCCGCCAGCATACACAGCACAGACACACATAAGCACACAATTCATTTCTGAAGAAAAATAGGGCATAAATGAATCTGAACTTCCATATATTTGTCAAATTGATAGCAGAATAACCTTTGGCTTCCTCCAAAGACCAAATCCGTTCCTAAAAGACAAATATATTACAACCCTAAAAATTTGCAAAATAGTGCTGAGATAAACTCCCAAAGAAAAATCCCACAAATGTCTTATGTAACAGCAGCTCTACTAAAATAAGCTGAATTGTAAACCAATATTCTTACTTATAAAGTAACAGGATTCATTTAGAAGTATCAATGGGGCTATGTTTGCTAAAATATTACTTGCATTACTTAACAGTAATAACAACCAACATTTATGTAGTGTTTTAGATAGTCCTAAAGTAATCCTGTGAAATTACTCAGATATAGTAAAGGAAAAGGTCGTTGATCTGTGTTCCTTCCCTCTTCCCACAATGGTGGTGACCACAGTGATCCTGAAAGCCAAGGTGAAGACAGTGGAGCCGTGTTAGTCTAGGTCCTTCCCTTCAGTGTGTGGGACAGAGCCACCCATGTGTGTGAATTGTTCGCCAACTAGTTTTTATGTGTGGCAGAAGTGAACTTTTTGTCTTTTCAACCATATTATTTAGGAATCTGTCATTATAACAACTTCATCTTTTGCGCTCTATTTCTGAATTCATCCTTACCATTTGTTATGACCCTGTCCAGTAAACCATGTGGAGGGCAAGCCAGCATTTGTCTGAGCCTTTGTACGTGATTTGCTTCAGTTGGTGTTTCTTGTAGCTTTTTTTCACTGCTTTTCAAAAGGATACTTCCTTCTGTTGGTTCATTTGCATCTATACCTTTGAGGTTCATAACTGTCTCCTCCTGTATTTAAGGTAATTTTAAAAATCCTTAAAACTGTATATATTTTACACATTTTTATAGGTACTGCATCATCACCTTACAAATCAAATTTATGACTAGACTCAAGTATAACACTTTGTAGGAAAAACACACAGCTTTATTACTAGCTAATCAGCTTGAAACAAGAATTATGCTAGGAGTATTTAGCACAGTCACTATTTTTAGTACAGGTTGAGTATCACTAATCCGGAAATCTAAAATCTGAAATGCTCCAAAATCTGAAACTTTTTGAGTGCTGACATGACACACAAGTGAAAAATTCCACACCTAAACTCACATGACAAGTCACAATCAAATGCAACTTTGTTTCATGTACAAAATTATTTAAAATATTGTATAAAATTACCTTCAGATTACCTGTATAAGGTGTATATGAAACATAAATACATTTCCTGTTTAGGCTGGGGTTCCATCTGCAAGATATCTCATTAGGTGCATGCAAATATTAAAAAAAAAAAAAAGAAATCCAAGACACTTATGGTCCTAAGCATTTCAGATAAGGGACACTCAACCTGTATTATAAATGTCTGGGTCACATAACATTTTATTACGTTTTGTAATACTGGGTTTTAAAATAAGCATATTTAAGATAAAATTCAGGGCAATAATTGGCACATATACCAAAGTAGTTTAGAAAAAGATAACTATCTGTAATGAAAACCACTTCACATTCATTAATCTACTTGAATTTAAGCAATAAAAAGAAAGAAAGAAACCAAAACCATTCTAGAGATTAGGTCAGAGACACAAAGTATTCCACAGGCTCTCCATTTTTCTAGCCACAGGTAGGGTCAACTGACAATGATGTTAGCTGGGAAAACTGGTAGTCACACCTGCCGTGCACTGTGTGAGTTTGGGGATAGGAGAATTGGTAAATGAGTGGTAGAATATGAAGGAAATACAATTCTGTCACAGCTTTGATTTACCTGTGTTTCTTGATGCATGGAGGGCATGTGATTCATTCCTGTGGATGGTTCTGAATCTTCACACGTAATTCTTTTATCTTCATCCTCCATTATTTATAATTAAGAAGATGACAGAGGGAAGAGGAACGAGATCTGTTTTGAAAGAGTATAGATATAGAGCAGTAATTTGAGTCTTTTGATTTCAAAGACTTCAGATTGTAGTTATTTTTCCCTAAGAATTCTGAATGGCTAAGCTATTTGAAATTAGACTATTCTTAATTTTCAATGGCGGTTTTTTTTTTGTTTTTTTGTTTTTTTTTGCTTAATTCTCGTATATTATCATCATTCTTATCTACCTTTTTACTTCTCTTGAAAAAGCCTTTGTTGACCAATCACATTTTTATGATTTCTTTCCCACACTGTTTTTTGAGTTATACTTAAAAACATTCCAAGCAATATCAGTGTTAAATTGTCCTCTATCATGGGCCAACTGGATGAAGCAGGAAGGCTCCAGGTAACTTTCCAATGTTGATATGAAGAATGAGTCACTAAAGGGAAATCTCCAGATTCCATCCTTTTCAGAGAATCTAGAGTCACTAACTCTTGCCTAGTTCTTATTTTTAAATTAAAGTTTAAAAATACACCACAATTGACTGAGTAGCCACAATGTCTTAGACACTACGAGAAGTGCTATGATAGTCACTTTTTAGTCATTGTGGGCAATTCAAAGATTACCAAAACACAGTGTTTGTTTTCCACTGACTTATCATATACCAGGAAAAATAAATTTATACCAAATAACTAAGAAAACCTGTAAGACTACTGATTGGCTCAATAAACACTCACTTCAACCCATTCTCCCTTGGCTTTCCATGCTATACAGGCTACAAGGCCAATACAGTACTCCAGTTCCTAGCCACTTTTGCAGGTAGAGGCGACCATGTGTCACAGTTCTACATATGAGATTTAGGTGGGAGCTTTGGGGGAGGCCTTTAGAGGATAATACTTTGTACTCTTTGTCCTCTAACATTTCCCTTTCTCCTTCCTAGAATGTAGATACAGTGGCTAGAAGGGCAGCAGACATCTTTCAAGCATGAGAATAAAAGCCCTCTACTTAGGATAGTAGATAAGTAAGATAGAAGCTGGTTCCTTGACGACATCTTCCAGTTGCTCCATCAGCCTTGGACTGCCAAGCATTGGGGTAATTGTTTAAACCACTATTAATCAAGTTTTTTCTTCTTTTTTAACTAGTAAGGAAACTTACTCCTAATGCAATAAGTACAATGAGTATCTTGATAGAGGTACACACTACAAACTTGTGGTAGAATCAAAGAGAAAATTATGTAAGAGAAGGGAAAATCTAATTCAACACATATCAAAGTGCCTAATGTGTTCCAGGCACTATGCTAGACATAAAGACAAGGATGAATTAGACAGGACCCCTCCCTCAAGGAATCATTTTCTCTGTTCAACAAAGTGCCAAGAAATTTGCATTTAAAATTTCAAAGAACATCATAATCTTTCTACCACCACCACCATTTTTCCTAATTACAAAACACAATGGTAACCAGAGTGCCATCTCAAAAAAACCTTTAGTTTACTTTTTATTATATATAATTTATAATATGCTTATATGATATATATGTATATGTATATATGTTAGTATATATACTTTTTTAAATTAAAAAACTTATTTCAAAATTTAGACTGAGAACATAAAAGAAAGTCACTTGACCAGAAAATGTTAGACTCAGAGAACACTTGTCTTAAAGGCATGGAGGCAAGAAAGCCAGTGGTGTATGAGGGGAAACTGCTGGAGCCTGTGGCAGGAGGCTGAGAGTAACGGGAGATCAGGTTTAAGAGTTAGGATATCAGATCTCCAACCAAAGCATCTAGCCCTTACCTTCTGAAGTGAATGACCCCAAATATGGTAACTGACAAGATGGGCTGGGTTCGGATTTGGATAAGCCTGAGTCTGAAGTCCATCTCCCTCATATAGCAAATTGCTTAACCTCTTTGTGATTAATTCCTTATTTATGAAAGGGAGGCAAGAATAGTTCAAACTATGCACAGTTGGCATTCAATAGTGTTGGTTATTGCTAACCACGCATATTCCTTCTTCCTGATTATCATAAGAAGAATCTTTAAGAATTGTTTTGTTTTCCCTATTAAGCAAGACAAAGTCAGCTCAATCTTGAAGAATTTACTACTTAATCCCATTGATTTTATTTGGTCATGATTTTTCATCTGTTTTTGAGGCCCACTTCTTGATGAGGTGGATGTAACATTCATTTCTTCACCTTTCTCAGTAGGAGAATTACATAGAAATTCTTTGGCAGTATCACTAGAACCATCTCTTTCATCAAATTCTCAAAATCACCCAGTTCTGCCACTTACAAAAACTATTTTTAAATAGTCACGAATTAGAAATTATTATTTTTAGTAGACACAAACTATTGGTTAAAATGAAGCCTTTGTGAACAAATTTTATTAATATTATCATGGGGTCCTTTTAAACATAAACAATCACAACTTGGTATGTTATAACATCTGTGGGATTTATATAATTTTACATCCCAAAAAACTTCCCTATTCTCCAATACTCTCAACCACAAATGCCAAAATACTTATACATGATCAGAAACTACTGCAGAAATAAAGGATAAAATGAAATACCAGTCTTTTAATAAGCCCAGTAAGAGATCTTACAACTAGTCAGCTGTATTTGTTTGCTCTCTGCTGTGTTTCCATTTCTAAAAGACCATTTAAAACGCATGTCTCACTTCAGGAACCCACTTAAATTCAGGAGAATTTCAAAAATGTTAGCTTTACTTAAAGTGACCATGTTCATGGTATTTATTATTCATAGTCATTGGGTCTTGAAATGACAAAAATGACCCTTGAAGGGCCATAAAAAATGTCATGAAACTCTTATTAGAAAGTTTATTCTCTTTACTCATAGAAAGGTTCTTAAGGACTCACTCAGAGCCCATTAACCCTTATTTTGTTTTGTTTGTTTGTTTGATTTTTGAGAGGAAGTCTCCCTCTGTCGCCCAGGCTAGAGTGCAGTGGCATGATCTTGACCCACTGCAACCTTCGCCTCCTGGGTTCAAGAGACTCTCCTGCCTCAGCCTTCTGAGGAGCTGGGATTACAGGTGCCCGCCACCTCGCCTGGCTAATTTTTTTGTATTTTTAGTAGAGATGGGGTTTTGCCATGTCAGCCAGGCTGGTCTCCAAGTCCTGACTTCAGGTGATCCACCCGCCTAGGCCTCCCAAAATGCTGAGATTACAGGCGTGAGCCACCATGCCCGGCCCTTATTTTGAAAACAATTCTAATGACTTTGCTCCTTTGTTTTTCAAACCCTCAGAAGATTAGGTGTTAAATATTAAAATACAGGAAGAGATTGCTGTGATAGAGGCAAATTGAGAGCAGCATTAGTGACTGATGACAGTGAAAGAGATGAAAAAGACAGCAATCTAAGAGTCATGAAATGTGGGGATACATATCTTTCCACAAGGGATATTTATAGCGTTGGCCTGCCAAGTACCTTTCCCATCACCTTTCTTGGTAACAGCACACGAATTTTCTTTTGTGAACTCCACACCTCCTCTATTCTCCATCCATGTGGTCATGTGAGATTGTCATTCTGACTTCCCCAACCCACATGCTCCACTAGTGATCCAGGGATGAGGATCATTGACAGCCCTGGTCAATAAGGGAACTCCTTCCTCTGGTTACATTGATGGTTTCAGGCATGAGGACTGACACATACCTCACCAAAGAGAGTCAGCTTTGGGTATTTACTGGAATCTTTGGGAAAGAGCTCTCTGTTGGTGTTGCTAAACCTAGACTTGCTAATGAAAACACTTGTGACACCCAAGAAAGCTCTCCAAAGAATGAAATGACCACAGAGCAAAGAAGATTCTCAATATGGAAAAGGAGGAAAACTCCAAATTAATCACCACATTGTTGGTACATCCAGAAGCAGCTACTTTTGAGTTAGATGAGCCAATAAATTCCTTTCATTAAGACAGTTTGATTTGGGTTTCTGTCACTTGCCACCAAATGAATCCTCAGTAAGAACCTTCATACCTGAATTGGCCCTGAAAGATCTCCTGTATAATAAATAATGTTTGGAAAAGTGATTCTCATACCTGTAATCCCAGCACTTTAGGGGGCCAAGTCAAGTGGATCACCTGAGGTCGGGAGTTTGAGACCAGCCTAGCCAATGGTGAAACCCCATCTCTACTAAAAATACAAAAATTAGCTGGGCATGGTGGCAGCCACCTGTAATCCCAGCTACTTGAGGCAGGAGAATCTCTTGAACCTGGGAGATCGTGCCACTGCACTCCAGCCCAAGTGATAGAGTAAGGCTCTGTCCCCCTCTAAAAATAAAAAGAAAAAATTATGTTAGTATACTTTGTGTTTAAAAGGCACTAAAATAGATAGTACAATTTAGAGATTTTGTTTAAACAGAATGTTAAACTAAACAAAAATTTGGTATTTAATAAAATAGGTGTCAGTTATCCAGAAAATTAATTTAAGTGAAATGCTTTGTTTTTCAAAACAGTGCTGGTAAAAAGAAATATTGTATGTAATGAATCTTATTTTCTCATTATATTCATGGAAGTCTTTTAAAATCCCAACATTAAACTACTTCTTAGGTACCAGAGAAGGTTCAAGAGAACTGTTAAAAATTTATCTGAGACACTGGGTGTCTGTGATTGAAAAATTAAAAAGTAGGAGAAATATAGAGAAACTAGATGGTTTCTAAGTAACTAAGAATCACAGATTAATGGAATAATAATAGTTGGGAAGCCCTTTAGAACCGAACTAGGCCTACCTCTTTAATATTTAAATGAGAAAATTGAAGTTTAGAGAAGCTAGTTTTTCTCAACGCAGCCAATATCGGCCTCATAATAAAACTATAAAAGTTTGTACAATGAGATAGTTCTTTAATTTATATCTTTGACTTCATGTCATTTCTACCAAGTCACTGCATTGCATTTTTTAGTTTCTGCTATAATTCGTTTAAAATCCTACTCATATATGCCCATATACACCTGTAAGTTTGAAAACACAAGCTGAAAGTAAATGCAAATATTTTTATTTTCTACCTTGCATCATCTTCAGCTTTACACTTTCCCATTTT